CTGCGCCAGGACACGGCCGCGTCGCGCGCGCTCAAGGACAGGATCGTTGAGCTGGCCAACGAAGCACTCACCGCCGACCTCGCCCTCGGCGACAAGGAGCAGTGGGGGATCGGGCCCGGCAAGGCGCGCACGCCCGATCAGCTGCTGGACGCGATCGACAGGGGGAACTACGATGGCGGCAGGACAGGACGTGCGTGGCGACCTTTTCTTCGTGGACTCGGACTGACCGAACGCGCAGGCATGTGGACGCTCGATCCGATCGACGGCACGAAGGGCTTCCTCCGCGGCGGGCAGTACGCGGTCTGCCTGGCGCTCATCGTCGACGGCGAGGTCAAGGTCGGCGCGATCGGCTGCCCCAACCTGCACGTCGACGCCGCCAAGCCCGACGGCGAGAAGGGCTGCATCTTCGTCGCCGTCCGCGGGCGCGGCGCCCAGCAGGTGCGTCCCCTCATCCTTCCCCCTCCCCATCCTTGTACTCACATTCCCCCAGTACACGCTCGCCGGCGCGGACCCGCAGCCCCTCCGCCTCCCCGTCCTCCCCACCTCGCAGATCAGCTTCCTCGAGTCCGTCGAGGCCGCGCACGCCGACCACGGCTTCAACGCGCGCGTCTCCGAGGTACTCGGTGTCACGCTCCCGCCCGTGCGCATGGACAGCCAGGCCAAGTACTGCTGCCTCGCGCGCGGCGAGGGCGGCGCGTACCTGCGCATGCCCGTCGGCACCGGCTACCGCGAGAAGATCTGGGACCACGCGCCAGGATCTGTGTTGGTTGAGGAGGCGGGCGGCACGATCAGCGACTCGAGGGGGAAGCCGCTCGATTTTGGGCTTGGGCGGACGTTGCGAGAGAATTTTGGGAAGGTGATTGAGGCCGTGCAGACGGCGGTGTCGGAGGGGCTGGCGAAGTTTTGGAGGGGGGACCCTGAACTGTACTACCGCATGTATCGTAGATGCCAATGCAGAGCGTTGAACGTCTGCCGTTGCGTGCGTCGCGTTGAGTTTTCGCGTGTCCGCGCATGTCGAAGCAGGGAGGGTGGGCAGAAGCGAGGCGGCGACTCGTCGTTTCCGCGCGAAGGGAGGGGGACATGCAGGATATTTATTGGGTAGCTACCCCTACTCACAACTCGTCTACAGCTCGTACTCACTTTTCTACATAGCCCCCTCCCATCCCCTCCCATCTCCCTCCACCCTCCACCCCTCCTTCGAGCGAGGAGGCTGAGCCCCCGTCGAGATGCGCACCCTGCCCCCCACCGGCATACCTCGTCCCCCTCCCCCTCCCCTCTCCCATTCTCGCACTCGCCCCCTTCCATGTCCTTCGACCTCCCCCAACACCTCCCCTTCGCCGCTCGGAAGCGCCGCAGCACCTCCACTCGGAGGAAGGTGCCAACCTTCACTCGGAGAAATGTACCTACCTTCACTGTGTCGCGCCCCGTCTGAGGTCGTCGCACCTGCCTGCCGTCGGGTTAAGGCGCACCAGCGTGGTTGAGAAAGGTGGGGGAGGGCAGCTGCTGTCTGATAAGCACTCGCTCTCGCACTTCGAAGAGGGGAATAATGCGAGGGTAAGGGGTAAGAGAAGGGAGGGGAGAGCGAGGGGGGCATAGGATAAACAAAGGGGGAGGGGAGGGGAGAGCGGAGGGGAGGGGAGAGCGAAGGGGAGGGATATGCGAGGGGAAGGGTAGGGATAGATGAAGGGGGAGGGGGAGGCGAAGGGGGAAGGGCGAAGGGGCAAACAAAATCGAAAGGGAAGGTAAATAAAAGGGTGAGAGGGGGGGAGGTAAGCGAAGGGGGGAGGGGGGAAGAAAGAATACGAAGAGCAATACTCACCTTATTACCTCTTTCCCTCCTTCTCGCGCTTCGCCCTCAACCCCCTTCTTCCTCTCCCCCCTCCTCTCCCTTTCGCTCCTACCCTCCCGCACCTCCCCTCTCCCCTTCGCTGCCACCCTCCCTCACCCCTTTCCGGCGCTTTTCCAACGATTTGCCACATCTTCACTCGCCCCTCCCCCCACCTCCATCCCCGCATGTCGATTATAAAAGTTCGCTTGAGCTGAGAAATTGATGAGCGAAGTGAAGGGAGGGGGAGGCGAAATGCGAAGGGGAGGAGAGGGGGAGAGAAGGGAGAGAAGAAGGAAGGGGGAGTCGGAGGAGGGGGGGAGGGTAGAGGACGGAGAAGCGATGGGGGAGGCGGAGGAAGGGGGAGGCGAAATGATGAGAGGAGGAAGAGGGGAGGGAGACGCGATGGGGGGAAGTGGAGAGGGGCGAAAGGGAGGTGGAGGGGGAGGGAGAAGCGAGGGGGAGGGGAAGGGAAGGGAGACAGAAGTGAAGGGGGAGTGGAGGGGGTGGTGGAATGCGATAGGAGAGGGGAAGGGGTGGTGAGCGAATCCACGGACGAAGGGGGGGGGCGTATGATAAGTAATATATGAACAACACGAACGCGCACCTTGATCTTTGCATGGGGGCATCGCAGTCGCGCGACGTACAACCCTTGACCCGCAGCGACATACGGCAGGCCTCCAGCGCGCCATGCCGCAGGCCTCGAGCGCGCCCTCAAAAAGCTTGAGTGGTCGAGAATCTAGGCTAGGGTTAGAACAAACTAGGAACGAGGGCGCGAGGGGGCATGTCTTCGACCTCCTCACTGGGGCCCTTTGACCTACTCGCGGGGGCCCTTCGACCTGCTCACTGGAGCCCTTCGGCTGCGCGTGCCGAATCCCCACCTCCCTCGTAAGATTTAGCATACCGCCTAATTCTACGAACGCATCAGCGGCGCGGTCGACGGACAAGGGGGCGGCATGCGTACCTTCAATTTCTCACCCCATCGACGAGTTAGTCCTGCGCGCGCGGACTCACGGAATGATCTGGTTGTCTATGGGCGTGTGAGCAACGGTCGGATGGCTAGGTTTAGGAATCTAGGTATGGAGGTGGTCGGTAATTCGGTACTGACCGCCGTCGAGTAGGTACAATCGAAGAAAATCAGTACTTCGTGGTATACACAAGCGGCGCGCGGGACAGAGTCAACGATATTGACCTGCGCTTCCACGCGCGGCGAGGCAAGCCCCTCGCACGGCGCCCTCCGACGCGTCAATCACCTCGAGTCCCTCGAGGGCACCTGCGAAGTCGTAAATTTATGCAAATCGCAACCATAACGACCACCAGACATACCTTCAGCGATGGTCCCAGTGTGCTACGTCCGTATGAGAGCGCAACCTGACAGTCCTACCGGCTCTACTAGATAGCACAGTCAGCGGTGGAACACGCAGACAACGATTCAATACGTACCTCCACCAACTCTCTTCGAGGGCGTCCGCCGAAGAGACGAGGGCGTGAGCCTCCGGCGGTTTGGGTTCGTGGCAAAGCTACCTGGGAGCAAGGGATCAGTACGCTTGTAGAAAAGGAGATATCGGTGAAGGAAGGGGGTCTTCGGCGAATCCTTCGCCTTCAGAATCAGATGAACATGAAAAACCTACTTGTAATCCGACCCCCCGACGACGAAGGGGGAAGGCCCCGCGAAGACGTGGACCCACACGTCTTCGAATCCTTCACCGAGTGAGCGCGCGCTTGCCTCCGGCGGCTCGGGGTCAGCAGAAATCACTGCCAAATACGGTCAGAGCGGGTTTTGACATTTCGACGCATGGGCAGCGTTTCAAAACGGCATGAGAACTCACCTGCGCATGACACCCCTTAGCGCGCTGCGAACAGCGATGCTCACGCGAAATGGTCGCGGGGGTGCGAGGGTGCTCAATCCTCTTCGCGGTCTTCACCGAGGGAGCCCGCGCGTGCCTCCGGCGGTTTGGGGTCTCAGAAAATTGCCTGAAATGGAGGTTCAGCGTGATTTTCGACTCGTAGGGACCCCCGTTGTTCGTAAAGGCATAATGGCAGGGCTGTACTCACCAATATACGCCTAGTGGGACGGCACGGATGGCGATAATTTCTCGCAGAACTGGATGGGAGGGGCCCACCCCTCATCGCGTTCTTCGCCTAGGGATCGCGCGCATGCCTCCGGCGGCTCGGGGTTGGCAGAAAATACCTGAAAATAAGATCAGCATGCGCTTTGACACTGTGACGACGGGAGAGAAGAAAACGGCGTGGTAACTCACCTGTGCATAACCCTCTGGCGCGCTGAGAGCAGCGGCGCCCATAGACGGCGTCGCTGGGTGTGCGGGGATACACTCACCTCGTCGCGTCGTTCACCAAGAGAGCCCACGCGTGCCTCCGGCGGTTCGGGATCTCACAGAAATGCCTGAAAATGAGGTTCAGCCCGCTATTCAGCTCGCGAGGATCCCCGCGGGACGTAGAGGGCGTGGACAGTGTCGCACTCACCGGCATACGTTCAGTGCGGCGACATACTCAGCAGTATTCCTCTTCGCGTGACATCGGACGGGAGGGGTCCACCCCTCGTCGCGTTCTTCGCCGAGGAAGCGCACGCAGGCCTCCGGCGGCTCCGCATATGCAGAAAAATGCTTGGGAGGGGTCAGCATGCGCAAATTGGGGATAACGTCCACGTACTCACCGTCTTCGTGATCGAGGGATCCGCCTTGGGGGTCGACCGAGCATGCGTCGTCGACGACCGCATGGACTACGACGTGGTCAGCGAGTGACAATCTACGAAGAACGTGGAACACACCGAGTCAAGCCCGCTATCACACGCGGCGGTCTTGCAACGAGCTTGCAGTCCTCTTCCTCGTCGCCACGGCGTACAATCGAGAATTGTGCCGGCGGCCGCGCATTCTCTGACAGTCTCCTGGCCCTGGGTGTCGCGTGTGAGGCGGACGCGTGTCTCGGTGAGGCGGTCGGAGGACGATAGTGACGGGGAGCGCCAGGCGACTTGAGCGATGACGGCGACGGCGACGTGGCATGAGGATTATGGTGGTGGGAAGGAAGGAGCGCGGTCCTATACACTCATGTCGTACGCATCAGCTGTCGCGTGCGGAGGGCGGTAATGAGAAAGCTTACCTTGACAGCGTTTTCGGCGCTTTCGTGAGTTGTATTGGGGACGCCGGCATCGGTGCGGTCGTCGGCAAGGACAGCTGCGGACGAGGTCAGTGGGACAAGAGGCGCAACAAATACAAAACGCACCGTCCTTGGCATATACTCCGTAGTGGTGTCGGAAGGACACGTTCTTCAGTGTACGACGGGGTTAACAAAGAAGAAGCAATTTTATGATCTGACGAATTGAATTAGCGGGACACGAGGCACGACGAGCGGGGCGGATGCTCACCATGAAACGTGGGGCGGCATATGAGTCGTCGAAGATAATGGGATGGGGATGGCGGGCGGTGTCGGGAGAGAACGGCCGTGGGTTATTCGCAGGAGCGCGATGCTCTTGCTCGTCGTGTACCGCGGTGGTGAGCCCCAGGACACACGACGCGGACGGCCTCAAGGGAAACAAGGCAGACGTGCCTGCGTGCGTCAACTTCGTGTTGGTTGTGAGCTTGAGTTCGACGTCGGTCGCGGCGAGTAGCTGGACCGAGACATGTTGCCCATCGTCTGCTTTGCGTCGCTGGCAATCACCGTGGTCGACAAAAGGCGAGATCACCTTCGAATGTGTCAGTCATAGTTGAGAATAGAGATGGCGGGCGATGTACCTGACGACGTCGGCCAGCGTGCCGTCGGCGTCTGCTCATGAGAGTAGGAAGAAAGCTGTAGTAGGAAGAGTCAGTAGCAAGTTAGAGACGTATCACTCACTGATGCTGGTAGTGACGATCAGGCTGGAAATGAAGCCCGATCAGTAATTATTAGACTGGAGCAACGAAGTGACTTACAGCGAGAAAGTACTGAAATCAAATCGGTCAGAATTGGGCAGAGCGTCGCAAATGAGATCGTACCATTATCAGATGCGTGGTCACTGGAGGTGGACAGGTGAAGAGGCGAGGAAGAGAGGAGAGGAGAGGTGGAAGAGAGGAGAGGAAGAGGCAGATTGCTGATTGAAAGGGATTCCGCCCCTGCCTCTTATACGCCGCGAGACGGCTATACTACGCAAGCGGTCCCCGTCAAACCCGTCTGACAACGTTCCGCCATCACTCCGAGAAGTCGACGTGATTCTGGAGCCGAGGTGCGCCCAGGAAAAGTGGAAGATTTGGGGGAGTGGCGCGGTTCGCGCGCGTTCAATCTTCCGCTCCTCCCTGCGCGAATGTCAGCGAGGATGCAAGCGATAAGTAATGAAACGTACCCCAGCGGATAGGGAAGCCGCCCGTGGAGTCGCGGAAGGGGTGGCAAAGGGGTAGAGCGGGGTCTGTCGGGCGTTGTGCCGCTGCTCGTACAACTCGTTCTGCATTGTTTTCGCCAGGAGCGCCGGGAAAGATACAGCGCCAGAGCAGTCTAGGAGAATGCACGAGGCGGTGTGTGACGCGTGACAAGGCTGGGAGGTCGCGGGGAGAGGGCAAGAGAAAGAGGAAAAGTCGAACTTGGTGCCATCAGCTGGATCTCCATTTAGAAGGCTTTCAGCTTGTCGGCGCGCCGCCGATGCGCGTCGAGCTCTCACATTTGGGCGCCTGAGTTCCACCGGCGCCGTTACACATGTGTGCGTCATTGACAACATGTCGAGGGGGGTAAAGTGGGCAGGGGGAGCGGAGGATGTGTGTAAGCAGCCGAGGGGCACGAACACCCGAAGGCGCGGCGCGGTCCCCGTCGCCGTGCGTCAGCCTCCCATCAGTTTGATGGGTTCGCGGGCGCCCAATGCCCAGGCTTCAGGTGCGGAAAAGCGCCGTAGAGCGGAGGAAGATTCGAATGGGGGCAATAGCTGGTTAGAGTTTCTGCGTGTATACGTATTTGCAAGGCCCTTGAAGGCCAGCAATGCACTATAAAAATGACGAGAGTGTCTTGAAGACACGTGCAAGGTCGGAGACGACCGCCAGTCAGGTGCCGCGATGTCGCTCAAGCGCGGGATGAGGAGGAGGGGAAGAGCACGGGAATTGTGGAGGAGCGCGGAGGGTCTGAAAACGTACTAGTGTGTCATAGGACATCTATAATGCTATAGGGAACTGACTTTCCAGTCAATCTGTGCCCACGGAGAAGTATTATGGACGTACCGAAAACGACGCCACATGAGTAAAACGGCCATATCGTAGCGTATACTTGGATGGAGCGCGCGCCGACGCATTTCGCCAGTACTACAGAGCTTTCCGAAGCGATCTACGATGAAATTGAGAGATCGAATATTTTGAGTCATGTCGGTACTTACCCGTCGTACACTCGATTCATCCGTACTTCCCCTCATATTCTTGCCTTTGGGGAGGTAGGGTGCCATTCCTGATCGACCATAGAGCTCCCTACTTCGCCCACACCATCTATGTCGCTGACTACGCTTGACCCCTCCTACCCGGACCCGTGGATTATAATGGGGGGTGATGGCGAGGGAACTCCATCTCAGGCCGTTCAGACTTCACTCGTAGATTCCGTTCGCCCCAGATGCGCTGACCGTGTCGTTTCGCGTAGATGAGTCCCGATGGTGACAATCAACCAGCCCATGAGGTCTCCGGGAAAGGGGACGGCGACGATGGGCGGGGAACGACGTGGAGGTGCGGGACGAGAGCGGTCGGCAATTGCCGGCGGATGATCGCGCCGGGCGGGCGACGGGCGCCTGTTGATCTCGACCGCCATCGTCGTCGTACCCCGTGTCGCCGACGTCGGGCGCGCCGTCGCGCTCGATGCGGAGGCGCCTGCATCGCTCATTTTTCGCGCTTTCGACCTCAAATAAGCCCATTTTCTATCTGTGCAATACGGGTCTCGTGTTTGATTTCGTGCGTTAAAGGCAAGAGCGCGAGATTCTTCAAGACGGCTGAGCGCCTCCCGCAACACGTTCCGTGGCGCGACTCCCATTTCCAACAATCGGACACTTTGGAAGAAAGAACTCAGCAATAGCGCATCCCCAGCGTGGGGTTTACTTGCTGACTTTGTCCTGCCGGGTCGCGGGCACTCGAGTCCTTCCGTCTTTGGTAAACGCCCGTGCTTCTCTTGACCCTGATCCCTCGCCGTCGCTTGGGTCTTCTCTTCCGTGTCCTCTCCATCCGACGGGGCTCTCCGTGTAGGTCGTCAGTTCTCGTTGCGGCGGCGGGAAGCGCCACTGTGTCTCTCTGCTCGCCTTCCTGCCGTCGGCTCAAAGTGCAGTTTGCTCACACCAGCATCATGTCCTACGTGTTCCTCTCCTCATTAACGCATGCCACGTCGCGCTTCAGGCTCATTTTCCCGGCTGTGTCTAGCGATGAGTATATTCCGTCGGCCGAGCGGGGCATTCAGGTGCGTTCTCAGATCTCTCTGAGCCTCTCTCGAGCTCCAAACTTCTTCTCAGGTTGCCTTTCTCCTCGCTCTCGACGACTACGGCGTGATTCTCCGTCCGACGAGCACTTGTCAAGTCGCGCTGAGTGTCGAGTGTATAGAATTCCGTCTGATGCGTGTTCCGACCTTCTCGCTCATCCTCCTAATGATGTCCTCCACTTAGTACACTTTTTCTGACCGACACATTTCATCCGACGAGCAGTCCTCGATGCTTGCGGCCATCAACCTGCTTCAGCTCATCATCTGGGCTTTCCCTTTGGACCCCTTGCCTTCTCTTCTCTCCTCAACCTCATTTGTCGAGTTTTCGTTCTCTGTGACCTTTCTCTTGATACTGTGTCGCGCTCAAGTCGCTCCCGCCATTTTCGGGTCCTCCGAGTGATTCCCCTTCAACTCTATGCTCTGAGTCGCTATTTTGGTGTTGTCGAAACACATCGTTATCCGCTGAGTGGCGCGAGGCGTCGGTCGGACTCCCCCTTCGATTTACGTGCCCTCGTGAGCTTGCTGCACTTGCTGTGAGCGTGTTGTGCTTCTTGTGAGCTTCTTGTGTCTCCTGTGAACTTGTCGTTTTCCCACATCTTCCTGCCTCCACCTTCCTGGCTCCGTAAGTTGTCCCGGTGTGATCCACGCCTTCCTAATCTCCGCTTTCGTGATCCCACCTTCTTCTCATCCTCCCCGTGTCTCGTCTGTGCTTCTCGTTGTGTCTTGTCTGTGCTTCTCCCCGTGTCCCGTCAATGCTTCTCAACATGCCTCATCAAAGCTCGTCTCATCCCTAGTGACCATCTCACTCCACTGTGCTCGTCTTGTCCCGTAGCACGTATCCCATCCTGCAGTACTCGTCTTGTCTTGTAGCACACATCTTGTCTGTCTTGTCCAAGTAAGATAGCAATGCATTGCTCTCTGTCTAATGGGATGATACACTCTTTGCCTGCCTTCATTTCATACCCTTCCTGCATCTCGCCTTCTCATCCACAGCCTCCAAGCTCCAAGCCTCGCTTAATCTCTACTTGTGATGCTTCTTTGACCCTGACCGCTTCTCGAGTGCTCCGTCGGACTTGAGGTAGCCGCTCCGTTGCCTTCACTGCTTCTTCGGACCTTGGTACCCGTAGCTTCCCTGACCCAGTCTGAATATTTGATCCGCACTCCACTCGCTCATCAACTCATACACAGCTAATTAACCGAGGTTACGTTTGAGAAGGGGCTGGTGTAAAGCCTGGTGGACCCTTGCACGTACCCTGACTTTTCTAATAGCCACGGGGTGCCTCGAGGAGTACCTGTCCTCTGGCCGAGCTTGGCAAAGTCATGTGCAGAGCGAGTAGAAAAATCATAGGAGGCGCTGAAGGATGGGTAAAGGCCAGAGAAATACAGAGACCGAAAGATGAATAGTACGCGCACCTTCCCCAACTTGAACGACGGCGATAGCTGCCCTGGCGCGGATGCGAACCCGCCTGTCACGCTTATTTCCGAGATCGGGCAGCTGAACAGGGAATAGGACGAGTTGAGGGTCGAATTGGGCGGAATGGCGCGGTAGTCCACCCTGTACTGACCTCCTCTACACAAGCCGCGCACTCCGAACGCGCAACTCGGAGGTTTGTGTTTTTCGACGCTCGGCTAGGTCGGACTTGCAATTTCACTCAGCTCCTCCCAATTAGGAAAGCCCCCGGTTCAACTCCAGTCACATCACGCCCCGATGCCCAGCCCCCCGCCGCACCACACCCGCGCCGCGAGGCCAGGGCAGCCCAGCACAATGCCCGACCGCATAGTACCACCGCACTACATAACCTGAGGCGACGCGACGCGACGCAGACGCAGACCCGCCCCGCCGCCACGTATCACATGTCCCGCCGCTAGCTTCTCGCCGTCACCCGCCCCGCCCTCGAACCGCATGCATGACGCGTCCGTGACAGAACCACCCGCGGCTCCGCCCGACCCTGCCTCACACGCCGGCGACGCATGACCTCCAGCGCAGTCACCGTTACCCCCCCCCTACTTGCACCCGCGTTTCCCGGCCTGCGCAAGACTCGCGATCGACAACTTGCTTCCGTACACCTTCTTGCTTCCTGCCCCATCCTCGCGTGCGAATCGTGCTCACTTGCGTCTGGTCTGCCCTTGTACACGACCGGTAAGCTGATCTACGTCCACGCACTCCCTCCCTATTCCATATTACATTCCATATTCGCCAGCGCCCGCTGGCTTGTCGCCCACCGTCCAGCACATCGCCCGCCTCCCGCACGCGACTCTGGCATTGCTAATGCATCACCTGATCGCGCCCGACACGCAATCGTGAGGTGACGGCGCCCTGGTCGCGGAGATGATCTGGAATTGGGCCCGCTGGCAGTCCCGAAGTATTTGTACCCGCGTCCGCTCGTTGTCTGTTCCCCCAAATCGCACCTTCGCTTCCACCACCATCATCACAACGATCGGCATGTCCCAACCTTACGAGAAAGAGGCCGAATTCGCAGTCTGCGCCGTGCGACGCGCATGCAACCTCACTGCGTCGGTGTTCAATAAGTTGATCAAGAACGAGACGCTGGTGAAGGGCGACAAGTCCCCGGTCACAGGTGCGTGGTCGTACCATGTTCCCCCTCCGAACGCTGATGATCGCACGCAGTTGGCGACTTTTCCGCTCAGGCGCTGGTCTGCACGATGCTGGCAAACGCCTTCCCCGATGACCTGATCGTGGGAGAGGAAGACTCGGCCGACCTGCGCCAGGACACGGCCGCGTCGCGCGCGCTCAAGGACAGGATCGTTGAGCTGGCCAACGAAGCACTCACCGCCGACCTCGCCCTCGGCGACAAGGAGCAGTGGGGGATCGGGCCCGGCAAGGCGCGCACGCCCGATCAGCTGCTGGACGCGATCGACAGGGGGAACTACGATGGCGGCAGGACAGGACGTGCGTGGCGACCTTTTCTTCGTGGACTCGGACTGACCGAACGCGCAGGCATGTGGACGCTCGATCCGATCGACGGCACGAAGGGCTTCCTCCGCGGCGGGCAGTACGCGGTCTGCCTGGCGCTCATCGTCGACGGCGAGGTCAAGGTCGGCGCGATCGGCTGCCCCAACCTGCACGTCGACGCCGCCAAGCCCGACGGCGAGAAGGGCTGCATCTTCGTCGCCGTCCGCGGGCGCGGCGCCCAGCAGGTGCGTCCCCTCATCCTTCCCCCTCCCCATCCTTGTACTCACATTCCCCCAGTACACGCTCGCCGGCGCGGACCCGCAGCCCCTCCGCCTCCCCGTCCTCCCCACCTCGCAGATCAGCTTCCTCGAGTCCGTCGAGGCCGCGCACGCCGACCACGGCTTCAACGCGCGCGTCTCCGAGGTACTCGGTGTCACGCTCCCGCCCGTGCGCATGGACAGCCAGGCCAAGTACTGCTGCCTCGCGCGCGGCGAGGGCGGCGCGTACCTGCGCATGCCCGTCGGCACCGGCTACCGCGAGAAGATCTGGGACCACGCGCCAGGATCTGTGTTGGTTGAGGAGGCGGGCGGCACGATCAGCGACTCGAGGGGGAAGCCGCTCGATTTTGGGCTTGGGCGGACGTTGCGAGAGAATTTTGGGAAGGTGATTGAGGCCGTGCAGACGGCGGTGTCGGAGGGGCTGGCGAAGTTTTGGAGGGGGGACCCTGAACTGTACTACCGCATGTATCGTAGATGCCAATGCAGAGCGTTGAACGTCTGCCGTTGCGTGCGTCGCGTTGAGTTTTCGCGTGTCCGCGCATGTCGAAGCAGGGAGGGTGGGCAGAAGCGAGGCGGCGACTCGTCGTTTCCGCGCGAAGGGAGGGGGACATGCAGGATATTTATTGGGTAGCTACCCCTACTCACAACTCGTCTACAGCTCGTACTCACTTTTCTACATAGCCCCCTCCCATCCCCTCCCATCTCCCTCCACCCTCCACCCCTCCTTCGAGCGAGGAGGCTGAGCCCCCGTCGAGATGCGCACCCTGCCCCCCACCGGCATACCTCGTCCCCCTCCCCCTCCCCTCTCCCATTCTCGCACTCGCCCCCTTCCATGTCCTTCGACCTCCCCCAACACCTCCCCTTCGCCGCTCGGAAGCGCCGCAGCACCTCCACTCGGAGGAAGGTGCCAACCTTCACTCGGAGAAATGTACCTACCTTCACTGTGTCGCGCCCCGTCTGAGGTCGTCGCACCTGCCTGCCGTCGGGTTAAGGCGCACCAGCGTGGTTGAGAAAGGTGGGGGAGGGCAGCTGCTGTCTGATAAGCACTCGCTCTCGCACTTCGAAGAGGGGAATAATGCGAGGGTAAGGGGTAAGAGAAGGGAGGGGAGAGCGAGGGGGGCATAGGATAAACAAAGGGGGAGGGGAGGGGAGAGCGGAGGGGAGGGGAGAGCGAAGGGGAGGGATATGCGAGGGGAAGGGTAGGGATAGATGAAGGGGGAGGGGGAGGCGAAGGGGGAAGGGCGAAGGGGCAAACAAAATCGAAAGGGAAGGTAAATAAAAGGGTGAGAGGGGGGGAGGTAAGCGAAGGGGGGAGGGGGGAAGAAAGAATACGAAGAGCAATACTCACCTTATTACCTCTTTCCCTCCTTCTCGCGCTTCGCCCTCAACCCCCTTCTTCCTCTCCCCCCTCCTCTCCCTTTCGCTCCTACCCTCCCGCACCTCCCCTCTCCCCTTCGCTGCCACCCTCCCTCACCCCTTTCCGGCGCTTTTCCAACGATTTGCCACATCTTCACTCGCCCCTCCCCCCACCTCCATCCCCGCATGTCGATTATAAAAGTTCGCTTGAGCTGAGAAATTGATGAGCGAAGTGAAGGGAGGGGGAGGCGAAATGCGAAGGGGAGGAGAGGGGGAGAGAAGGGAGAGAAGAAGGAAGGGGGAGTCGGAGGAGGGGGGGAGGGTAGAGGACGGAGAAGCGATGGGGGAGGCGGAGGAAGGGGGAGGCGAAATGATGAGAGGAGGAAGAGGGGAGGGAGACGCGATGGGGGGAAGTGGAGAGGGGCGAAAGGGAGGTGGAGGGGGAGGGAGAAGCGAGGGGGAGGGGAAGGGAAGGGAGACAGAAGTGAAGGGGGAGTGGAGGGGGTGGTGGAATGCGATAGGAGAGGGGAAGGGGTGGTGAGCGAATCCACGGACGAAGGGGGGGGGCGTATGATAAGTAATATATGAACAACACGAACGCGCACCTTGATCTTTGCATGGGGGCATCGCAGTCGCGCGACGTACAACCCTTGACCCGCAGCGACATACGGCAGGCCTCCAGCGCGCCATGCCGCAGGCCTCGAGCGCGCCCTCAAAAAGCTTGAGTGGTCGAGAATCTAGGCTAGGGTTAGAACAAACTAGGAACGAGGGCGCGAGGGGGCATGTCTTCGACCTCCTCACTGGGGCCCTTTGACCTACTCGCGGGGGCCCTTCGACCTGCTCACTGGAGCCCTTCGGCTGCGCGTGCCGAATCCCCACCTCCCTCGTAAGATTTAGCATACCGCCTAATTCTACGAACGCATCAGCGGCGCGGTCGACGGACAAGGGGGCGGCATGCGTACCTTCAATTTCTCACCCCATCGACGAGTTAGTCCTGCGCGCGCGGACTCACGGAATGATCTGGTTGTCTATGGGCGTGTGAGCAACGGTCGGATGGCTAGGTTTAGGAATCTAGGTATGGAGGTGGTCGGTAATTCGGTACTGACCGCCGTCGAGTAGGTACAATCGAAGAAAATCAGTACTTCGTGGTATACACAAGCGGCGCGCGGGACAGAGTCAACGATATTGACCTGCGCTTCCACGCGCGGCGAGGCAAGCCCCTCGCACGGCGCCCTCCGACGCGTCAATCACCTCGAGTCCCTCGAGGGCACCTGCGAAGTCGTAAATTTATGCAAATCGCAACCATAACGACCACCAGACATACCTTCAGCGATGGTCCCAGTGTGCTACGTCCGTATGAGAGCGCAACCTGACAGTCCTACCGGCTCTACTAGATAGCACAGTCAGCGGTGGAACACGCAGACAACGATTCAATACGTACCTCCACCAACTCTCTTCGAGGGCGTCCGCCGAAGAGACGAGGGCGTGAGCCTCCGGCGGTTTGGGTTCGTGGCAAAGCTACCTGGGAGCAAGGGATCAGTACGCTTGTAGAAAAGGAGATATCGGTGAAGGAAGGGGGTCTTCGGCGAATCCTTCGCCTTCAGAATCAGATGAACATGAAAAACCTACTTGTAATCCGACCCCCCGACGACGAAGGGGGAAGGCCCCGCGAAGACGTGGACCCACACGTCTTCGAATCCTTCACCGAGTGAGCGCGCGCTTGCCTCCGGCGGCTCGGGGTCAGCAGAAATCACTGCCAAATACGGTCAGAGCGGGTTTTGACATTTCGACGCATGGGCAGCGTTTCAAAACGGCATGAGAACTCACCTGCGCATGACACCCCTTAGCGCGCTGCGAACAGCGATGCTCACGCGAAATGGTCGCGGGGGTGCGAGGGTGCTCAATCCTCTTCGCGGTCTTCACCGAGGGAGCCCGCGCGTGCCTCCGGCGGTTTGGGGTCTCAGAAAATTGCCTGAAATGGAGGTTCAGCGTGATTTTCGACTCGTAGGGACCCCCGTTGTTCGTAAAGGCATAATGGCAGGGCTGTACTCACCAATATACGCCTAGTGGGACGGCACGGATGGCGATAATTTCTCGCAGAACTGGATGGGAGGGGCCCACCCCTCATCGCGTTCTTCGCCTAGGGATCGCGCGCATGCCTCCGGCGGCTCGGGGTTGGCAGAAAATACCTGAAAATAAGATCAGCATGCGCTTTGACACTGTGACGACGGGAGAGAAGAAAACGGCGTGGTAACTCACCTGTGCATAACCCTCTGGCGCGCTGAGAGCAGCGGCGCCCATAGACGGCGTCGCTGGGTGTGCGGGGATACACTCACCTCGTCGCGTCGTTCACCAAGAGAGCCCACGCGTGCCTCCGGCGGTTCGGGATCTCACAGAAATGCCTGAAAATGAGGTTCAGCCCGCTATTCAGCTCGCGAGGATCCCCGCGGGACGTAGAGGGCGTGGACAGTGTCGCACTCACCGGCATACGTTCAGTGCGGCGACATACTCAGCAGTATTCCTCTTCGCGTGACATCGGACGGGAGGGGTCCACCCCTCGTCGCGTTCTTCGCCGAGGAAGCGCACGCAGGCCTCCGGCGGCTCCGCATATGCAGAAAAATGCTTGGGAGGGGTCAGCATGCGCAAATTGGGGATAACGTCCACGTACTCACCGTCTTCGTGATCGAGGGATCCGCCTTGGGGGTCGACCGAGCATGCGTCGTCGACGACCGCATGGACTACGACGTGGTCAGCGAGTGACAATCTACGAAGAACGTGGAACACACCGAGTCAAGCCCGCTATCACACGCGGCGGTCTTGCAACGAGCTTGCAGTCCTCTTCCTCGTCGCCACGGCGTACAATCGAGAATTGTGCCGGCGGCCGCGCATTCTCTGACAGTCTCCTGGCCCTGGGTGTCGCGTGTGAGGCGGACGCGTGTCTCGGTGAGGCGGTCGGAGGACGATAGTGACGGGGAGCGCCAGGCGACTTGAGCGATGACGGCGACGGCGACGTGGCATGAGGATTATGGTGGTGGGAAGGAAGGAGCGCGGTCCTATACACTCATGTCGTACGCATCAGCTGTCGCGTGCGGAGGGCGGTAATGAGAAAGCTTACCTTGACAGCGTTTTCGGCGCTTTCGTGAGTTGTATTGGGGACGCCGGCATCGGTGCGGTCGTCGGCAAGGACAGCTGCGGACGAGGTCAGTGGGACAAGAGGCGCAACAAATACAAAACGCACCGTCCTTGGCATATACTCCGTAGTGGTGTCGGAAGGACACGTTCTTCAGTGTACGACGGGGTTAACAAAGAAGAAGCAATTTTATGATCTGACGAATTGAATTAGCGGGACACGAGGCACGACGAGCGGGGCGGATGCTCACCATGAAACGTGGGGCGGCATATGAGTCGTCGAAGATAATGGGATGGGGATGGCGGGCGGTGTCGGGAGAGAACGGCCGTGGGTTATTCGCAGGAGCGCGATGCTCTTGCTCGTCGTGTACCGCGGTGGTGAGCCCCAGGACACACGACGCGGACGGCCTCAAGGGAAACAAGGCAGACGTGCCTGCGTGCGTCAACTTCGTGTTGGTTGTGAGCTTGAGTTCGACGTCGGTCGCGGCGAGTAGCTGGACCGAGACATGTTGCCCATCGTCTGCTTTGCGTCGCTGGCAATCACCGTGGTCGACAAAAGGCGAGATCACCTTCGAATGTGTCAGTCATAGTTGAGAATAGAGATGGCGGGCGATGTACCTGACGACGTCGGCCAGCGTGCCGTCGGCGTCTGCTCATGAGAGTAGGAAGAAAGCTGTAGTAGGAAGAGTCAGTAGCAAGTTAGAGACGTATCACTCACTGATGCTGGTAGTGACGATCAGGCTGGAAATGAAGCCCGATCAGTAATTATTAGACTGGAGCAACGAAGTGACTTACAGCGAGAAAGTACTGAAATCAAATCGGTCAGAATTGGGCAGAGCGTCGCAAATGAGATCGTACCATTATCAGATGCGTGGTCACTGGAGGTGGACAGGTGAAGAGGCGAGGAAGAGAGGAGAGGAGAGGTGGAAGAGAGGAGAGGAAGAGGCAGATTGCTGATTGAAAGGGATTCCGCCCCTGCCTCTTATACGCCGCGAGACGGCTATACTACGCAAGCGGTCCCCGTCAAACCCGTCTGACAACGTTCCGCCATCACTCCGAGAAGTCGACGTGATTCTGGAGCCGAGGTGCGCCCAGGAAAAGTGGAAGATTTGGGGGAGTGGCGCGGTTCGCGCGCGTTCAATCTTCCGCTCCTCCCTGCGCGAATGTCAGCGAGGATGCAAGCGATAAGTAATGAAACGTACCCCAGCGGATAGGGAAGCCGCCCGTGGAGTCGCGGAAGGGGTGGCAAAGGGGTAGAGCGGGGTCTGTCGGGCGTTGTGCCGCTGCTCGTACAACTCGTTCTGCATTGTTTTCGCCAGGAGCGCCGGGAAAGATACAGCGCCAGAGCAGTCTAGGAGAATGCACGAGGCGGTGTGTGACGCGTGACAAGGCTGGGAGGTCGCGGGGAGAGGGCAAGAGAAAGAGGAAAAGTCGAACTTGGTGCCATCAGCTGGATCTCCATTTAGAAGGCTTTCAGCTTGTCGGCGCGCCGCCGATGCGCGTCGAGCTCTCACATTTGGGCGCCTGAGTTCCACCGGCGCCGTTACACATGTGTGCGTCATTGACAACATGTCGAGGGGGGTAAAGTGGGCAGGGGGAGCGGAGGATGTGTGTAAGCAGCCGAGGGGCACGAACACCCGAAGGCGCGGCGCGGTCCCCGTCGCCGTGCGTCAGCCTCCCATCAGTTTGATGGGTTCGCGGGCGCCCAATGCCCAGGCTTCAGGTGCGGAAAAGCGCCGTAGAGCGGAGGAAGATTCGAATGGGGGCAATAGCTGGTTAGAGTTTCTGCGTGTATACGTATTTGCAAGGCCCTTGAAGGCCAGCAATGCACTATAAAAATGACGAGAGTGTCTTGAAGACACGTGCAAGGTCGGAGACGACCGCCAGTCAGGTGCCGCGATGTCGCTCAAGCGCGGGATGAGGAGGAGGGGAAGAGCACGGGAATTGTGGAGGAGCGCGGAGGGTCTGAAAACGTACTAGTGTGTCATAGGACATCTATAATGCTATAGGGAACTGACTTTCCAGTCAATCTGTGCCCACGGAGAAGTATTATGGACGTACCGAAAACGACGCCACATGAGTAAAACGGCCATATCGTAGCGTATACTTGGATGGAGCGCGCGCCGACGCATTTCGCCAGTACTACAGAGCTTTCCGAAGCGATCTACGATGAAATTGAGAGATCGAATATTTTGAGTCATGTCGGTACTTACCCGTCGTACACTCGATTCATCCGTACTTCCCCTCATATTCTTGCCTTTGGGGAGGTAGGGTGCCATTCCTGATCGACCATAGAGCTCCCTACTTCGCCCACACCATCTATGTCGCTGACTACGCTTGACCCCTCCTACCCGGACCCGTGGATTATAATGGGGGGTGATGGCGAGGGAACTCCATCTCAGGCCGTTCAGACTTCACTCGTAGATTCCGTTCGCCCCAGATGCGCTGACCGTGTCGTTTCGCGTAGATGAGTCCCGATGGTGACAATCAACCAGCCCATGAGGTCTCCGGGAAAGGGGACGGCGACGATGGGCGGGGAACGACGTGGAGGTGCGGGACGAGAGCGGTCGGCAATTGCCGGCGGATGATCGCGCCGGGCGGGCGACGGGCGCCTGTTGATCTCGACCGCCATCGTCGTCGTACCCCGTGTCGCCGACGTCGGGCGCGCCGTCGCGCTCGATGCGGAGGCGCCTGCATCGCTCATTTTTCGCGCTTTCGACCTCAAATAAGCCCATTTTCTATCTGTGCAATACGGGTCTCGTGTTTGATTTCGTGCGTTAAAGGCAAGAGCGCGAGATTCTTCAAGACGGCTGAGCGCCTCCCGCAACACGTTCCGTGGCGCGACTCCCATTTCCAACAATCGGACACTTTGGAAGAAAGAACTCAGCAATAGCGCATCCTCAGCGTGGGGCTTACTTGCTGACTTGATCCTGCCGGGTCGCGGGTACTCGAGTCCTTCCGTCTTCGGTAAACACCCGCGCTTCTATTGACCCTGACCCCGCCGTCGCTCGAAATTTCTCGCGCAACTTCTGCGTCCCCTTTGTCCGACGTATCCGGGGCTCTCCGTGTAGGTTGTCAGTTCTCGCGAAGGCGGCGGGAAGCCCCATTGTGTCCCTTAGCTTACCTTCCCCGCCGTTGGCTCACCGTCGGCCCACCTATCCCAAACGGCTGTTCGCTCACACCATACGTAATCACCTCCTCATCAACGCATGCCACGTCGCGCTTCAAGCTCATTTTCTCGGTCTTGTCTAGCAATGAGTATATGGATTTTCGTCGGCCGAGCGGGGCATTCAGGTGCGTTGTCCGTTCTCTCTGAGCCTCTCTCAAGCTTACTTCGTCTCAGGTCCCCTTTCCCCCTCGCTCTCAATGACTACTGTGTGTGTCCCCGTCCGACGAGTGCTTTTCAAGTCTCGCTAGTCGCGCTGAGCGTTGAGTATATAGAATTCCGTCCGACGAGCGACGACCTCTGATGCGTGTTCTGACCTTCTCGCTCGTGCTCCCAATGATGACCTCCACCTAGCACGCTTTCTCTGATCACCTCAAGTTCCAAGCGATGCATTTTCATCCGGCGAGCAGTCCTCGATGCTTGCGGCCATCAACCTGCTTCAGCTTATCATTCGGGCTTCTCTTTCGCCTCCATGACTTCGCTCCTTCTTTCCTCAACCTCATTCGTCAAGGCTCTCAAGCTCTTGCTCTCTGTGACCTTTCTCTTGTTACTGTGCCACGCTCAAGTCGCTCCCGCCATTTTCGGGTCCTCCGAGTGATTTCCCTTCACCCCTACACTCTGAGTTGCTATTTTGGCGTTTTCGCAACACATCATTGTCCACTAAGTGACGCGAGGCGTCGGCTAAACTCCACCTTTACTTTCTGTGGCCTCGTGAGCTCTTTACCCTTGCTGTGAGCATGTTGTGCTTCTTGTGAGCTCTCCGTGTCTCCTGTGAACTTGTTGCTTTCCCACCTTCCTGAGTCGGACATCTTTCCGCCTTCACCTTCCTGGCTCCGTAAGTTGTTCCGGTGTGATCCACGCCTTCCTAATCTCCGCTTTTGTGATCTCACCTTCTCCTCATCCTCCCCGTGTCTCATCTGTGCTTCTTGCCGTGTCTCGTCTGTGCTTCTCGCCATGTCTTGTCAATGCTTCTCGTTGTCTTTCATCAAAGCTCGTCTCATCACTAGTGACCATCTCACACCACTGTGCTCGACTTGTCCCGTAAAACACATCCCATCCTGCAGTACTTGTCTCGTCTCGATAGCACACATCTTGTCTGTCTTGTCCAAGTAAGATAGCAATGCATTGTCTTCTGTTGAGTAAGATGATACACTGCTTTCCCACCTTCATTTCATACCCTTCCTGCATCTCACCTTCACATCCGCAGCCTCCAAGCTCCAAGCCTCGCTTAACCTCTACTTGTGATGCTTCTTTGACCCTGACCGCTTCTCGAGTGCTCTGTCAAACTTGAGGTAGCCGCTCCGTTGCCTTCACTGCTTCTTTGGACCTTGGTACCCGTAGCTTCCCTGACCCAGTCTCAATATTTGATCCGCACTCCACTCACTCATCAACTCGTACACAGCTAATTAACCGAGGTTACGTTTGAGAAGGGGCTGGTGTAAAGCCCGGTAGACCCTTGCACGTACCCTGACTCTTCTAAGAACCACGGGGTGCCTCGAGGATGACCTGCCCTCTGGCCGAGCTTGGCAAAGTCAAGTGCAGAGCGAGCAGAAAAATCGTAGCAGGCGCTGAAGGATGGGTGAGGACAAGAAAATACAGAGACTGAAAGAGAAATAGTACGCGCACCTTCCCCAACTTGAACGACGGCGATAGCTGTCCTGGCGCGGATGCGAACCCGCCTGTCACGCTTATTTCCGAGATCGGGCAGCTGAAGAGGGAATAGGACGAGTTGAGGGTCGAATTGGGCGGAATGGCGCGGTAATACAGCAGCAAATACCCCCCTCTACACAAGCCGCGCACTCCGAACGCGCAACTCGGAGGTTTGTGTTTTTCGACGCTCGGCTAGGTCGGACTTGCGAACTCGCCCAACTCGTCCCAATCAGGAAAGCCCCCGGTTCAACTCCAGTCACATCACGCCCCGATGCCCAGCCCCCCGCCGCACCACACCCGCGCCGCGAGGCCAGGGAAGCCCAGCACAATGCCCGACCGCATAGTACCATCGCACTACATAACCTGAGGCGACGCGACGCAGACTCGCCCCGCCGCGACATATCACATGTCCCGCCGCTGGCTTCTCGCCGTCACCCGCCCCGCCCTCGAACCGCATCCATGACGCGTCCGTGACAGAAGCAGCCGCGGCTCCGCCCGACCCCGCCTCACACGCCGGCGACGCATGTCCTCCAGCGCAGTCACCGTTACCCCCCCCTACTTGCACCCGCGTTTCCCGGCATGCGCAAGACTCGCGATCGACAACTTGCTTCCGTACACCTTCTTGCTTCCTGCCCCATCCTCGCGTGCGAATCGAGCTCACTTGCGTCTGGTCTGCCCTTGTACACGACCGGTAAGCTGATCTACGTCTACGCAGCGGTGTTCTGCACTCTCTTCCTATTGCATAAGGCATTCCATATCCGCCAGCGCCCGCTGGCTTGTCGCCCACCGTCCAGCACATCGCCCGCCTCCCGCACGCGACTCCGGCATTGCTAATGCATCACCTGATCGCGCCCGACACGCAATCGTGAGGTGACGGCGCCCTGGTCGCGGAGATGATCTGGAATTGGGCCCGCTGGCAGTCCCGAAGTATTTGTACCCGCGTCCGCTCGTTTTCTGTTCCCCCAAATCGCACCTTCGCTTCCACCACGATCATCACAACGATCAGAATGTCCCAACCCTACGAGAAAGAGGCCGAATTCGCAGTCTGCGCCGTGCGACGCGCATGCAATCTCACTGCGTCGGTGTTCAATAAGTTGATCAAGAACGAGACGCTGGTGAAGGGCGACAAGTCCCCAGTCACAGGTGCGTGGTCGTACCATGTTCCCCCTCCGAACGCTGATGATCGCACGCAGTTGGCGACTTTTCCGCTCAGGCGCTGGTCTGCACGATGCTCGCAAACGCCTTCCCCGATGATCTGATCGTGGGAGAGGAAGACTCGGCCGACCTGCGCCAGGACACAGACGCGTCCCGCGCGCTCAAGGACAGAATTGTAGAACTCGCGAACGAAGCACTCACCGCCGACCTCGCCCTTGGCGACAAGGAGCAGTGGGGGATCGGGCCCGGCAAGGCGCGCACGCCCGATCAGCTGCTGGACGCGATCGACAGGGGGAACTACGATGGGGGAAGGACAGGACGTGCGTGGCGACATTTTCTTCGTGGACTCGGACTGACCGAACGCGCAGGCATGTGGACGCTCGATCCGATCGACGGCACGAAGGGCTTCCTCCGCGGCGGGCAGTACGCGGTCTGCCTCGCGCTCATCGTCGACGGCGAGGTCAAGGTCGGCGCGATCGGCTGCCCCAACCTGCACGTAGACGCTGCCAAGCCCGACGGCGAGAAGGGCTGCATCTTCGTCGCCGTCCGCGGGCGTGGTGCGCAGCAGGTGCGTCCCCTCATCCCTCCCCCTCCCCCTCCTCGTACTCACCTTCCCCCAGTACACGCTCGCCGGCGCGGACCCGCAGCCCCTCCGCCTCCCCGTGCTCCCCACCTCGCAGATCAGCTTCCTCGAGTCCGTCGAGGCCGCGCACGCCGACCACGGCTTCAACGCGCGCGTCTCCGAGGTGCTCGGCGTCACGCTCCCGCCCGTGCGCATGGACAGCCAGGCCAAGTACTGCTGCCTCGCGCGCGGCGAGGGCGGCGCGTACCTCCGCATGCCCGTCGGCACCGGCTACCGCGAGAAGATCTGGGACCACGCGCCGGGCTCGGTGCTCGTTGAGGAGGCCGGCGGCACGATCAGCGATTCGAGGGGGAAGCCGCTCGATTTCGGGCTCGGGCGGACGCTGGGGGAGAACTTTGGCGTGGTGGCTGCGGAGAAGACGGTGCACCCGAAGGTGATTGAGGCCGTGCAGACTGCGGTCGCGGAGGGGTTGGCCAAGTTCTAGAGGACGGCGCGAGGAGAAACGCAGGCGATGGAGGAGAGAAGTGCAGCTACCGTGCGTGTGATACCATCATCCTTGCTGGTCCTATACATGTATCATAGACTCGACTGAAAGGTTATAGAAGCTTGAAGCCATCGAGAGATTGCGTGCCGAACGGTTTGAATTATGGCTTCGTGGTAATGGTTCGTGATGAATGAAGGTGCGCTCTGGACGTGCTTTTCCTGGTCATCTGCCTTCAAGCGAACCCTGCTCGGCAAGTCAAACGCTTCAGCACTCGGAATTAACCGAACTGGGTCACTTCCACTCTTCGCTTGCGCATTTGCGCAGGCGGACATCCTTGTGCGGAGAATTCAAAGCGGAATCCAGGCGCGTTCAGCCCCTGGATTGTGCCAAACGAAGCGCCTTCCTCGCGATCTTTCGAGATCCTTCACGAAACTTCGTCCACTAGCCAACACGCGCTGCGCCTGCAGGCAATTCAGCTCTTCCGAGGCGTCGCGGGCGACTGGTGAGGTCAGCCGCGGGGCTGAGTCGGTGCGCGCCACCCTAACTTCACTGATTCATCCGCGCACCTGACGCGCTTGCGCGTACGTCGTACGACGCCTCGTTGAGCATGCAGCCGACGAGGCCGATGACTCGGGCGTCGTGCAGGTCGTCAGCGTCAGCCGCGACGACCTGCACGAGCTCGGCGCATCAGTCAGCGGTCACGAGCTTGCCTTACACAATGCGCGTGACTTGAAAGTATAGCGTTCGCTGGCGCGTTCATCTCCTTCTGAGCAGCGCAGAGTACGAGATGGAAGGGTGTTAGAGAGGCGTAGAGGCTTCCTGGAACGTCCCCAACATCCAGCTGTCTGTTTTGCGTCGCACAAAGTGTTTCTGGTGAAGTTCAACCGTCACGTGCCGGCCTTATCAATTATGCCGGCATTTTCCGGTGCGATAGGCAAAGTAGTATATAAGCCGCCTCCTTCCCTCTTTTCCTCATCCGTTTCCTTCCGCTCGAAGCAGAACAGCAACGATGGTCGCTATTATTCAGAAGCCTGCTCCTACCTTCACCGCCGCCGCCGTTGAGGACGGCCTCATGAAGGACATCTCCTTGAAGGATTACCTCGGGCAGTGGTGCGTTTTCGAGCGTCTTTCATGAGGGAACGAAGCTGATGTTTTGCGATCGCGTTTTCCAGGGTTGTCCTCCTCTTCTACCCCATGGACTTCACCTTCGTCTGCCCGACGGAGATCCTTGCATTCAACGATGCGTTGAACGACTTCAAGCAGATCAACACCCAGGTTCTTGGTGCGTCCCCCATTCCGATCCTCACGAATCTTCCACTCATCTTCCTCCACAGGCCTCTCTACCGACTCGCAGTATGCGCACTTTGCGTGGGCGCAGCTCGAGCGCAAGGCTGGTGGCCTTGGCCCCGATCTCAAGATCCCCCTCGTCGCGGACCGCAGCATGCAGATCTCGCGCGACTACGGCGTGCTGATCGAGGACGCGGGTGTCGCGCTCCGTGGCCTCTTCATCATCGACCCGAAGGGCATCCTTCGGTGCGTACTCCCATCCCCCTCCTCCTGTTCGTCTAAGCTGACTTTGCCGCAGTCAGATCACCGTGAACGACCTCCCGGTCGGCCGCTCGGTCGAGGAGACGATCCGCCTCGTCAAGGCATTCCAGTTCACCGACGAGTACGGTGAGGTCTGCCCCGCCAACTGGCACGAGGGCGGCAAGACGATCAAGCCGACGCCGACCGACAAGCTCGAGTACTTCTCGACCGCGGAGGCGGACGCGGCGAAGAAGCAGCGCACTGCGTAAACGTCGCTTGATCCACGCTGCGATCGACGATGCCTGCCATGACTGACGACTTGCGACGACGGAGGGGATAGAAGAAGGATCTAGAAATGTGCTATTAGATTTACTAGAGGGCGCTCTTGTTTGTAGAGGTTGTATCAATGCCTTTCGCTCTCGACGCTTTTCGTGTGTGACAGCATCAGACCCCAGTCCAGTCCAGCGTTCGAGGTAGTCGAGGTGCAGAAAGGCTTGGCGGACTGCGATGGTTACGGGATATGTATTCTCTGCGATCGAGCTCTCGTCACCTTCACTTCCAGCGAGGAGATCCTTACTGACCACTCCCTTTACAGACCTTTCAAGAGGAGGAACCTAGGAAGAACCTTTGTATCTTCCGTGAGACTCCCCGCGGGGCGCATGCGTGCCGACTCCAACGCAGTGATTCGGGGGCGCGTCCGTCGCGCGTGGCAGCTTCCGACGCGCTTGGGCATCCCTGCAAACGCATCACGTTGGCTTCCCGCACCTCTAACACGCGGCGTGGCAGCGGGTATAAAGCCCGCCCCGCAGCCCCCGCGCATTCTTCCCTCCCCTCATCCCCCCATCCGTTGGTCGCTTCCCCAAACGACCGTCTTATTTGCTGAACCAACCTCGACGAGCCCTTGTCATTCCTTTTCAATCGCTCGTGATACCTCGCACCCCGTCGCTGTCTACGACTCGCCAACTCGCTCAGCCCAACGCACCGTGATCTGACCGTGCCCGCTTTCGACGAATCGCCTTTACCCAGTCTCGCCACATCGCTTTCGAGCCACCGCCTTCGGTCAGAACCCCCCAAGTCAATCCACGCTTCCCCAAACACCCAACATGGCCCCCTTCACCACCCTTGCCTCCCTCCTCACCCTCGCGCTCGTTGCGGGCGTTCAGGCTCAGTCCGCCTCTGCCTCCGCTGCGCAGTCCTCCGCCCCCGCGCTGGGCTCGTCGTCCGTGCCGGCCCAGTCCTCCGCGGTGGCGTCGGTTACGTCTGCCGCCGCCTCTGCTGCGCAGCCTTCAGCCTCTGCTGGCGCTGGACCGGACACGTCCTGCGACGCCCACGGCTGCTTCAAGCAGATCGAACTCTCGGATGGCACCCCGCTCGAGCTCACTCAGAGCGTCAAGTACAACACAAGTGGCGTTAACTTCACGTTGGCCTGCGCGTGAGTGGCTATACTCTTCGTTGACGCAGTGAAGAGGGCAAGGGGAACTAGCGAAACTAACAACTCTTTCAGATACGTCCACGAAGGTTCCAGCGGACCGAGCGCGATCAAGCTTTTCGACCCCGCCCAGCTCGAGGCTGCCGGAGCCGCCGCGCTCGCTGGCTTCGCTCGTGACGAGAAGGCCATCTTCGCGCGCGAGGACTCGGCGTACATCGCCAGGGATTTCCCGGTGCTCTCCCGCAAGGCGCAGGGTACGGGGTACGCGTGCTACTACGTGCGTCATTGTCCATTTCGGGATGAATGGATGGAAGACTGACGTTGTGGTGACGGCTTTGCAGAACGACACGCACGACCTCGTCGCGCACGACAAGGAGGGGACGACGGAGGAGGATGCGTGCCCGGAGGTGATGCTGTGTTAGGCGAGGAAGTTGGCGATGTACTTGCCGCGGACGCTGTTGTGTAGGGCGTAGCACGAGATCGGCGCGGACCTAGCGAACCAACCTGCCGTGGACCTGTGATCGGCGCGTACCTACTGCCTAGCGCCGTGAGATGTAGCTCGTAGACCTTGCTCGTGACGAGCACGACGGACTCAATACCATTCTTTCTCTTACGGACACCCTCGGCTGTGAGCAGGCGACTTGAACCTTGTGGTGAGGTGGCGACAACAAACCCTTCTATTTCGCTCTCAACCCCTCCATCCTATGTGTTGGCTTATCATCTCGTTTTCACTATCATGAAGAGATATTCCATCTACAAGGAGCGCGAAACGGCGAGTACGGACCATGTCTCCCGACGGCGCGCCCGGCGCGCTCTGATCGCCGACTGTGATGAAGGGAACATGACTCTGGGGAAGCTGGGGAAGACATCCATTCGCTGCAACTCTGTTCTGTTCATGACCGGCGCTGGACGTCGTACGCGTCGACGCTGCCCGTATAGGCACTGGGCGCTTACGCGCTGTGCCCCCCGGACACCCCGCGGGGTGTCAGAAGTCCTCCAAACGGCGATCAGGAATGGCGTCGCGATATACTTTGCCTTTCCCCCTCATCAACGGCGCTATTCGCGAGCTTGCTCGACGCCCTCGCGCTCAAATTTCCCTCTACGAAGCTCTTCATCTACGCCTCGACGAGCTCTACACACGGACGAGGGCGCTTAGCGGGACGCGCTTCTTTCATCACCGACGTCTCCCCATCGAGGACAAAGGGCGGAGGGAATACCAGCGACGACGAATCCGACGCGACAGACGAGCAGGGCCGACACTAGAGGGACAAGAGAATGCCTGCGCAGCCTGCGATAGCCTCCATCCAGCAGAATGGCGAGGATTCGGACTCGGGACTATCGTCTTTGACGGATAGCGAGTCGGAGTACGAGCTTGAACGATCGCCGACCCCGCCGCCTCCCAAGAAGAAAGCCGCGCCAAGGAAGAGCTCGGGGCAGGTGTCCGCGAAAGGTGCAGCGGGAAGGACGGCGAAGGCGGGACCCAAGTCGGTGCAGGCTCGAGCAGCCGCCGCGGCAGCGGCGAATGTGGTGCGCGATCAGCCAGAGCGATGCAAGGCGGGGCGCTGACCTTTGCGTGTAGGCTTCGACCTCTACGGCTCCAGCGCCTGTGAAGGAGGAGGACGAGGAGGAGACGCCAGCCGAGGCCATCCCGAAGGTGTCCCCCAAGACGAAGCGCACGCGCGCGTCAACGACGCAGGCGACGGCCACCAGCCGTGCCAAGTCCACCAAGAACGAGAAGAAGATTGTCCCCATGTTTGACAGAAAGCGGCGGACGGAGAACATGTCTGTCGCAGACATTTACAGTGCGTATGCGCGCCAGCGTCAAAAAATCTCGATACTGACTGCCTATATGCTGCAGGACTGGTCACGAAAGGGATCATCAACCTCGATGCGGAGTATCAACGAGGTGCGTCTCGCCCTGCACTCACCATCCCTCATACAAGTGCTTATATGCGCATATATAGAGGTCGTATGGACAGTGGATAAGCAGAGCTCGCTCATCGACTCCATCATGCAAAACATACACATACCGCCGCTCATCTTCTGTGCGTAGTGCTCCCTTTCCCATCCTCCTGCCATCTCTAATGACCTGCCGCCAGCGATGAAGAACGACAACGACATCATGACATGCATGGATGGCAAGCAGCGTATCACGTCTATCAAGAGGTGAGCAGGGGATCCTACCGTTGCATGCTTCAATGCTGATCAACATTGTTCGTTGACGCAGATTCATGGACGGCGAGGTATGTTCTTCTTCACGGATACATCATGTCGGGGTCCTGACAGTCTGCTAGATTCCCTGTATGCGCATCCTCCCCTCACTCGCGCATCTCAACCCTGACATGCAACGGTTTTCACAGTGAAGGACTCGTGAGTGTACCTCCGTCACACTCATGATGATGTGTACTGATCATTCGGCGTAGCCGATCGGGCAAGCGATACTGGTTCTGCGGCAACCCGAAGACAAAGACCTCAACCAGGCAACAGATTGACGAGGACAGTAGGGAGCGCTTTATGCGAACCCAGATTGTGCTCGTCTATTACGACAACATCACCATCGAGCAAGAGCGAGAGATTTTTGGGGTACGTATGCGCATACACCTGGCCCTGCCGACGACTTACGCAGTGCCCAGCGCGTGCAAAATGGTGTTGCGCTCACACCGGCAGGTAAGAGTGAAATATACTGGTTCTTTTCGCGGCAAGCACGTACTCACTTCCTCTTCCACGTAGAACGCATGCGCGCGATCAACAGTCCCCCAGCCGGGGTGGTTCGCGCCGCAGAGGCCCATATACGGGACGTACTCAACCATGCGCCCATCACTGCATTCATGCAGGCCGACGGAGAGCGCTTCTATACCATCGCGCAGCTCGCCATGCTTGTATGCAACGCGAAGGCGGATGCGCCAGACACGACACGGACGGAGCGATGGCTCAACGGCACCAGCGTCGCGCGGGTGCCTCACTTCTGGCGCGCGTTCAACATGCTGCTGATCATCGCGCTGGAGGAGACGGGCGATACGGAGGGTTGGACATCTGCCAGCGACTGGGCGCCCCCTAGCGGCGCAGAGATTGTCATGGCGGGCTACCTCGCGTACCACTGGCGTGAGCGCGAGGTCGCGCATGTTATTGCAGGCGTGCGCGCGCTGTGGGCGCAGGTCCGCGCGGCGCACGCGGGGCCGAAGGGGAAGGTCAAGCTCTCGGAGGCCGTGTACAAGAAGATGAAGGATTTCGCGAAGGCGTCCCCGCGCTCGACCACGTCCGGCTGGACGTGGGGAGGTCTGGGTCCTAATGCGGGCCCAAGGGCAGGAGATAAGGTGACCGCCGCAGTGCCGGAGCAGGCGATGGGGTTGGAGGAGCTGAGGGCGTTTGTAGCAGGACTGGGCGGAGCGGCGCAAGTTTCGGTTGCGCCTGTGACGACCGCGCTGCCACCTGCCCCCATTCCGCAAGCGACAGGCAAGCGGAAAGAGGCGCCGACGAATGAGGGCGAGCGGTCGACTAAGCGCGCCCCCGTTGTGGAGCCTCTTCCAACCGTGTTGATCCCGTTAGGACGGAAGCGGAAGAACGAGGAGGACGAAGCGGCGAGGCCAGCAAAGAAGCGGGCGGGCGAAGCGGGAGTTGCAAGTATTACCGCGAGCGTAAGCTGGAGCTCAACGACGTTGAAAGCCACCGCGTCATGCCAGCAGGCGGTCCAGTCGGCAGGCGCGGGTTCGTCCGGACCCTCAACGCACCGCGCTGCGCCTTCCACTCAGAAAACCTCTCCGAAGAGGGCGACGACGTTCGCGCCTCTTTCGAAGACGGTCGCGGCGAAGAATGGGAAGAGCAAGGCGGCCACGACCATCAAGCCGCGGAAGTCGTCCGCCAATACGCCCGTTGTTGGACAGGGAGTGGGACAGGGCAATGCGATGGCGACGAATCAGGCGTCGACACCGTCGGGAGGCGCTTCGGGTTCAACTATGTCGACAGCGCAGGGGAACGCGGCCAGCTCGCCTTACGACAACACGCCCATACCTATGGCGTCTCTTCCTCATTTCCAGAGGATCAGCGCGTCGGGACCTATTGACAATGTCCTCTCGCCCTCGCTGGCGCGCATGTCGCGCAAGTCTAGTATGGATAGTACAGCGTCTTCGTCGGCACCTCCACCTGCCTCCGCACCGCCTACCTCTTCGTCCTACTCGTCTTCCTCCCGGCCAGCCGAATCCTCTCTCCCCACACCGCCATCCACGACCTCATCTCTACCGCCCGCGAGCGCGTCACTACCACCGAAGCCCGACTTGTCCGGCCAGCTCCCGCGCCCGCCCACGCTCCCGCAGCGGTCGGGCCGCGGCGGGCGTGGTCGCCTCATGGAGAACCTGCAAACGCAGTTCGGTGCGCCATCGCCCACAGGGACGAATCCGTCGTTGCTGGGTTGGGGCGCTTCTGTAGGAGGTGCGAGATCGCCGCTCAACGCGTCTTCGCCCGTTTTGGGACCGGGCTCATCGGCGTGGGGCGACCGGCGCACCACCGACCCGCGTATGCGAGGGTCGGCGAGTAACTCGCCTGTCATTCCGCCGCCGCCAGGACAGCGTTGAGGTGCGAGTGGTACGTTTGTACGTTGTGCTCGCGCAGCGCGGCCCCTGGACCAGCACAACTCGAATACTGTCGATTCACATAGATATTACCCTCGCTCTCTTGCGTAATTATAAGTTATCGTTGTCTTGCATATTTTCTGAGCTTTACAATATTCAATCACTAGACTACTGTCATTTCCACATTGTTTTTCGTCTGGCGAAAATCACATTCTGACCGATGTGTTCCTTTCAAACGTCCTCGTCCGACTCATCACTTCCCCTATCAGTCACCTCAAAGAGCTCCAGCGCCACGACAGGTACGATTGCGCAGAGACATGGCTCCTCCCGAGACGCCACCATCTTCTGCAAGGCGTCGTTGAGCTTCTGATCCGTCCCTTCGTCCCGCGCGACCCTCAGAGCAGACAGGTTGGGCAACAACGGTGGTTCTTCTGCAGCACAAGTCAACCGCTGAAGCACAGGTTCCGACATCAGAAGGAAGGTATCGCCCTCGACCTCTCGCACGCGCAACTCTTCCAGCTTGCGGAAGCGCTCCAGGCAACGAATGAATGCTTGGGGATCGTCCGGAGCGACGCTGTCCAGGTCAAGTCGCTTCGGATTCGGAAGCGGATGATTCGAGAGAAAGTCGAGCAGGTAAGGGACGGGGCTATAGCTGAGGTCGCCCATGTTTCGCAACGTCAGCTCCTCGAGGGCTGGAGCGAGGATGTACCTGAACATCCCTTGGGCAGCGTCAGCAGCGAGGGTGAGGTGTCGCAAGGCGGTGAAGAGTATCGGATTTCCGATCAAGTTGTTGTCACTATACATGTAGCTGCTACTTTCGATGTCGAGGTGCAAGTCCACCAGGGAGAGTCGACAGCTGTCCAGCGCGTGCAGGAGCGGCTGAGTCGGCGGTCCGCCGCCGGCATCGTGGGCGCTGTCCACATGCAGCTCGAACGAGTGGAGGTCGGTCAGAGTTGGGAAGTGGATCTTGTGCCAGTGCGCATTGACCGGCCACGACTGGAGGAGATGAATCACAAGACACCTGAGAGACGGCGATTTCTGCATGAATTCGAATGGGCGCAGGTCCTTCTGCACGGAATCAAGTGGTTGCAGGCCTTTATTTCCTGTGGGCCCCTGCAAGTGGATCTCTGCAGTTGCGAGGACGGGCAAGTCGACGATAGGCTGTTGCTCAAGGGCAAGACATGCCGTATGAACATCGATGGACGTCCACCGCGAGGCGTGCGGGCGTAGCTCCCGAAAGAGCTTGGTAAGCGCTATGGGTTCTGAGACAGCTTGGATGTGGAGCGGCAGAGCTTTGGCGAGTGCGACCTGAGCTGGATAGCTGAGGCCTACATTCCGTGGCCGCGCCGAGGAGACGTAGGACCACAACTCGGGTTCGCCCAACGCGATGAGGCGCCACCGGAGGCAGACGCATGCTATGGTGTCCGCGATGACCGTCGCGCGCCGGAATGGCTCGACGTCTTCGATAGCGTGGTACATGACGAGCAGGAAGAGCTCCGCAGGAAGGCGCCACACTGGGGAGGCGATTGAGCGGTTGATCGCAATCTGCGTCGTCACCCTGTCGCGCAGGGCAGTCGCCGCGCTGCCGGAGGTTTTAGCGCTAAGCAGGGAGTCGGACAGCTTTGAAGAGATCTCCATGAGTTCCTCGCACTCCTCCGGCGAGGGTACGAAGCCAGCTCGCTGAAGGTCGAGGCTGGCGAGGCACGAGGCGCGTTGTAGAAGCGCGTCGTTCGACATGGTCCAAATTTCTGCAGGAGACGATGAGCAGCACTTACAGAACCAACGTCCCGGACATACGCAAAAGACACCGCGGGCCTGAGAACAGAGATTCTCGATGAGGTGATCAGGGTAGGAGGTAAGTGGAAAATCCTCAATCAACCCGTACTGAAAGGCGGTTAATCTCCAAACCATCAGACTCAGATCGATCACATGGTGGGCTTCCACTTCGCAAACTTCCGGACGCTCGTCCAACTATCATTGTCTTCTTGCGGACGCATTGCAAGGGATTCTGCAACTAAAAATGTTTTGAAAGAAACTACCAAGTCCATATGGAGTGGAGTGGAGTGGATTACCCGAGCGGTCCCTTAAGGAACATACGGGGTGCCCGTACTACGACATACAGTGCTGAAGTACGCGCTACGGAGCCGAACGACACACAGAATTACCATTGTAGCAAACCCAACCCGAGTTCGGCCGCCTCCTGGTCTCTCCCGCAAGCCGTGAGTCACAATCCTCCATCCTGGTTACCTTTCCCATCCGAAGCAGCCACCCACGCGCATGTGGGCAGCGAGACAGCGTGATGCCTGCCGAATAGCTGTAAAAGATCTTGAATGTAAACTCCCCCAGTGTATCGCATGCCGTCGGGTGCGCGCAGAGCGCGTGAATCCACGCCACCGGATACTGAGAGCACCCGCGAATAGGGGGGTCGACATCGGCGACGCTATCCCAGAAGCGCATACACAGGGCGACTAAGTCAGCCCGGGAGTTGCAGCTGTCTTCGATGCCATCTCCGCAAAGCCACGCAGGCGCCCTCCAGACGCGCTTGAGACCATCCGCCACGCACGTGTAGGAGCGGGTGCTCCCCGGTGACGATGGCGGTGACCGCCGTGCCGTGATGCGGCATAGCGACGTTGAGGTAGGCGCAGCCTTGGTGAGGTCCATCTCTTTCCATCAAGTCACACGTGCGCCACGACGCCAATGACCAGCATCGCGGGAGGCATGAGGAGTGGGGTACGTTGAGCTGTCTAGCAGCAGGTCGTTGTAAAATGGTTGGGCGAGGATGGGTTGTTGACGGATGGGTTGGTATACCAGTGATGGTGAATGGAATAATGCACATTGAATTTGGATAGCCCTACGTTCCTTCGCAGGGAGTTGGGCTGTACGTGCTCGAGCCTGTGTGAAGGGACCGAGACCGTGCATACCCAGAAGGCCCGGGAAGCCATATGTACTCATAAAGGGGCTGGGGGGGATGCTGGTGGCGTGCTATGGGCACTGTCACCACACATTCTCATCTGCCGCAGATGCGATCCCCAGTCGAAGCTCCCCACGCTCGACGTCGCCGTAAATCGGGCGTGATTGATTCCGGCAAGCAACGCTTGCGCATCGCAATGCTCGACCACTGTTGTCGCGCGCATCCGCGGTGTCCGCGGACGCCCGACGGTATAGATGCTGGCACCAGGAGCGTCGAGAATGACACTCCGAGCGTGCTCGTCGACGGCAGCTATGTGGAATGGGGGAGGGATTGGCGGCATGACGGCGCATTCGGAGCGCCAGGGGAAAGTACTGCTGCCCCTTATATTATAGGGGCGGGGTGGCACCGATGCATTCGCAGTCGTACAGGACGTTCTTCAGTGTAAAGCATCCAGGGGGGCGCACTGAGGGCACCATCGAGTGGGTAGGAATGCGAGCAATGTTGCTGCGGCGGCGTAGGCTGGACGTGGGGGCAGATCGGCCCCTGATCAAAGCCCCTCCCCGAGTGCGAGGACGCCGCCGACGAGCATGTGTAGTTGCCGATCACATTCATGGGTAGCTGCTCACGCATCCAGTGCTCTGAACACCGTTACTGTGCGGTTTTGCAGTGTCTATTCCCCGTCCGACGGTCTTCGACCATGTCGAACGCTTAGACCATGATGGTGGTAAAAGGCAACTATGTATAGGTATCGTGTCACATAAGCCAGTGGTGGTAGGCCAGTCACCATAGTTGTTGTCCGTCTTGCCTACTCATGGATAGGTCCATGTTAAGCCGTCAGCTCGTACTGTTGCCTTCCGAACGCGACAGGCGCCATTATCCGGGTGCAGTAAGTTATCAAGGCTAGGCCTCGCGTGCGTCGGCCATTCATCTCCCTGGTGAGGCTGACGGACTTGTCGCTGCGCGTCTCCCCCGCGGTCGATCGCATCCACGGTGAGCTCGAGCGGGTAGCGCGAAATGTCGTCCAGGGCACTGCTGTAACACAGGTCATACCAATCCTTGGACGTGATCTTGCAGCCCAGATCGACGTTGGCGACGCCGTAGCGGGTCAGGGCGCGGAGGGAGTACCAGGGCGCGGGGACCTCGGCGCGTGAGCCGCGGAACGAGATGCGCTTGCCCGCGAGCGCCGCGATGAGCCGGCTCCTGCCCCCGACGCGGGCGAGGAAGTCGCCTTCTGCCTCTCGCTCGTTGTCACCGAGGGCACGTATAGGGCGCGTGGGAGGAAATTCCATTTTGAGGTGGTCCCAGCCAGGTATGAATAGCAGGTTCTCGACAAGGAAGTCGATTGCCGAGTATTCCACCTCAATGTCCATAGCGCAGGCAACAGATAGTTCGACCGTGATCCCTGGAGGGACTTTCCTGATGGCCTCCTCAATCCTCCCGACGAGGATGTCGATGCCGCTGTGTAAAGGGAGTGTATCGTTGGAAGTGTAGTTTTGGCTGGCAAAGCAATGATAGTCCCAAAGGATGCAAATAATCCTGCAAGTCCCTGTTTCGCCGGGGGGCGGAAGATAGTACCAGGGCTCGGGTATCCTGTATTTGATCCAGTAGCTGCGCTGAAACCGCGGCATGTCAAAGCAGGTGGGGCGTGTGCGGAATTGGTGGCAAGGCGAGGTCGCGAGAGTGCGCAGAGAGCGGTGTTAACGAGTTGAATAGAGACGCGCAAGATGGAGAATAAGAGTGTCTTGCGCGGATACGCCCCGAGTTCGACTGGGTGAAGGTGGATCCGAAAGTCGCACAGAGTCGAGTATGGAGCAAGAAGTTGAGTTGCTCTGGACTTATATAGGCGAGGGGAGTAACGTCAAGGAGGTACATACACATCCGTGCATGAGCTATGACAAAAGTCAGCCATAAGGGGTAAACCTGGGGCGCTCAGATCAGCGGGGACAAAGTGAATATCGCCGAACAAAGAACCATGCTTAACGGATGGAGAAGTAATAAAGGCATCGAAGTAGATAGAGATGCGTACCTGAACCGTTCTTGTTGATGAGAGGAGCGCGAACGTACGCGCGATGCTTGCATACTGCGAGGGCACCGCCGACGAGAAATGCCTCGAACGGACAACATACAACGTCAGCGTTGCAGTGTTTTATCTACACATGCCATTAGAGGGTGTCATAGGAAAGTGTCTTCCGATGCACCAAGAACATACGCCTTTGTTGCATGCAGCAGTCTACCGACTGTATGATGCATCAGCGTGAGCCTTCCACTTCAGCCAAAAGAAGTGGGCCTTAATTTACCATAAGATGTGTTGAACGGCCGACCGATACGATGCAGGACTCCGCAAGCCATTAGGAATTTTTCTTGTCGAGCAAAGATCAACGGCAGGGCCCGGAATGAGGCGAGTACGGTGACGCGGAGAGCGGGCCGGGCTCGGCTCACGGAGATGATGAAGAAGATTCCCACGAGGTTACTCTGTAACGAAGTCTCGATTGAAAACCTTGCCCTCCTCCCTTGGAGGAGGGCCCTTTTATACCTACAGCTGTAAGTAGTCATAACTAGTCACGGAGTATATATACGAGTCATAAGAAACCAGGAGAACCTCAAGGAACTCCAAAGGAAATACCCCCGCGAGGGGTGAAGGCAGAGCACGTGGCGTCGGCTAAGGCCGAGGCGTCACATACCCCCCTCCAGCGCCTTCTAAGGCGCTCTGTAAGTACAGTAGCAACCAGTAAGTAGCACGTATGTATAGAATAGAAACGAGTCTTTGTTTTTGTATATATTTCGAACCTTTTCTGTAAGTAACTTTCGAGCCGTTGTTCTGATGATCTCTAGTAAGTAGTAAGTAACTACTGGTTCCCCTTGCCCTCGCGCCGCTTGGCACGGTTCGCCTCGAAGGCCTGCTGGCGGCGGGCGTTCGACAAGCGCCCCTGCATCGCCTCGATGGCCGTCACCTCACGAAGGAGGAGCTCCTCGTTGGTGGGCTCGGGCACCTTGCCCTCCACCTCGTCCATGTAGCGATGCGCGGCCGCTCCGCTGCTGATGTCGAGGATCTGACGCACCCAGAAGGTCCGATCAATGCGCTGCTCGTCGGGGATGGGTCGGACTTTGCCGGTCGCGAGGTCGATCGGGCACATGTGCTTGCCGAAGTCGGCGCGCTGGAGGATTTCCACGAACTCGGCATAGCCGGACGGGACCTCAACAACGTCGTGGCGGATTCCAGTAGCAGTGATGCCGTCGCTGAAGCGCATGTACTCGACGAGGATGGTGAGTGGGATGCGGTAACTGAAGAGGTATTCTTCAGGGTCGTTGCGCGCGTAGATAGGGATGACGAGGCGGCGTCCGCGGATCTCCCACGTCATGGGAACGATGCGGCGGTGGGCGAATTGGGCCGGGCCACGTGGCTTGGCGCGGCCGAGGAGGAAGCCGTCGTCCTCGGAGGCGCGCTTGGCGGGCGTCGTCTCAGCGGCGGCGGACGGAGGCGCGGTCTTATCCGCACCAGCGTCGGCGGCGGCGTTGACGCGCGGGATGGGTTGCTTCATGACGTCGGAGCGCGCGGCTTCCTGCTGGCGGATGCGGTCGGCGATGATACCGGCATTGTACTTGGCGCGGGCGGCCTCCTTTGCGCGGAGCGCGGCGGCGGTGTCGACAGGCGGCTCGCTGTCGATGAGAGTGGAGGCGGCAGAGCCGGCGGCGTCGAGGACGGACGACATCGTCTTGGGCGCGGGTGCCGGCGGGGCGGCCTCGGAACTGGGTGGGTCGACATCCATCGGTTGGACCGAGTCCGCCTTGTTGCCATTTTTGATCGCCGGCGCCGTTTTGGCCTTGGTGTGGGAACGGGTACCGACACGGTTGACGTTGGGCGAAGGGGAAGGAGAGTTGGGAAGCGGAGGTAAGGTAGAAGTATCCATAGTATGTATGTAGAGAGAGGAAGAGGAAATGGAGTTGGTTTGGCATACTGACTGTCCATCCCTTTTAAGGGGATCCCAGCTAAGCCCATTACCCGATTCGTCGTGAATCTCGCCATCGGGAACACGAGGCTCGATCGTGAGTTCGAGATTCCCTACATACAATTGGATATCCCCGGGGTCTGGTTCAGATCCAGCCGGGAGATCACCCGCTTTGTCAACGCCAAGCGCCTCAAGGTACTGCTTGACCTTCTCGAGGGTGGCAACATTCTTGATCGGGATCCAGGACATGTCGCCTGGCTTCCACTTCACCTTGAGTACTGCATCAGCACCCTTGCCGTGATGTCCCACAATCTCCTCAATTGCCCATTCTTTCTCCCAGGCACCGAAGTCGGCCACCTGAGTCTCAAGGCGGCCCGGAAATAGCCGATCATCATTGGGAATATGAATTCTCAATAGAGACGCGTGGAAGCGCGGGTGTATTCCCCGCTGCTTCAACTCCTTCGGGAGATCAAGAAGGAAGGCCTCATTGCCTAGATCCTTCAGGATGCGGTATGGTCCAATGAACTTGGGAAGTAGCTTACGAACGCGGCCCTTCGGGAAGTTCATGTTGGCAGTTGAGACATATACTAGATCGTTCTCGGCAAAAGGCGCGCGGATGCGGCGTCGATTGGCATCACGTGTCTGCTTGACACGCGCGGCGAGCACTGCGTCATGAGCCTGCATGATGGCCTGCTTGACGCGGCGCGCATAAGTCCGCACCCCGGGATATTCCGTCGTGGGTGCGTCCTCCCAGATCATGGCGCGGGGCATGCGACCAGTATTCAGGAAGAACGGTGCATACCCCGTGCTCTCCGAGCGCACGGAGTTGATCGCAAACTCAACCGCCGGCAATTTCAGGACCCAGTCCGATTGAGCGGGCTCGACGCATTCGCGTATCATCTGGACAACTGTCCGATTGGCCCGTTCAGTTGATCCGTCGGTCTGCGGATGGTATGCAGTTGACATGCGCAGCTCCGTTCCGATCAACTTGTGCAGGTGAGTCCAGAATATGCTCGTGAAGAGCGAATCCCGGTCACTGACTATGTACTTGGGGAGCCCATGTAGCTTATAGACTTCCGCAAAGATAATGTATGCCAGAGTCTTGGCAGTCACATTAGTACGCGTCGGAATAAGATGTACCATGCCGGTCAGCAGGCAGATCACGACGAGAAGGTAATTGAAGGTCCCATTGTGATTCTCGCTCTCGGGAAAGGGACCCGTGAAGTCTATCCCGATAGCTTCCCAAGGCGTGCCAGGCACCGGCAGGGGATTCAATAGCCCGTACGGCTTGTGATTGCTGGGCTTATTCCAAGCGCACGTGGTGCATGATGCGATGAACTTCTGCACATCAGGCACCAGCGTCTTCCACCACACCTGATCACGGAGCACGGGGATAACCTTAGCGGCACCGAGATGCGCGAGTAAGGTGTGTGCTTCCTGAATAATGAGTCCTCGCACGGAGCGACCACTTTCCTTGATGTTCGGAATGCACAGCAGACGACGAGAGTCCTGCTTCAGGAAGATGAGTCCGTCAACCACCTCAAAGTTTCGGAAGTGACTGGGTTCTTCCAATATCTTGGCAAAGAACGGATCGTCCTGATACTTATCCCGGATCAAATCTTCAATGCGTACACCCCGTGTGTGATTGGGTATAGCCGTCAAGATAGGTTCCGTGAGGCTAGGAGGTGCGATATCATTATCTTCGTCACCTTCCGCGCCGACCGAGGTCGAGACACGTGTTTCCTCTGCTGAGGCTGGTGTCTCGCCTGTCGGGTGTTCTGGTTCGGAT